CTCTCTCTCTCTCTCTCTCTCTCTCTCTCTCTCTCTCTCTCTCTCTCTCTCTCTCTCTCTCTCTCTCTCTCTCTCTCTCTCTCTCTCTCTCTCTCTCTCTCTCTCTCTCTCTCTCTCTCTCTCTCTCTCTCTCTCTCGTCCGGCGCTTTCGCCGCTCGAAGGCGGACGCGGAGTTCAAGTTTTCAGTGGTGAATTCGTTTCCGAAACGATTTCACTAGCGAATTCGGGGCTAGCGCAAATCGGAGAAAGTACGAAGGGAAGATGAAAATCCGCTTTCATCGGAGGCGGAAGCTGCACCGATCGAAATTACAAGCTCGATGTGCCTGTATATATTGCGCCGCTGAAAGAAAAAGTCATCGCCATCGTCGGGCCAAAACCTCGCCGGCTGAACTTGACGCGTTTCAACGCGATCGCCGCAGACGAACGGATCGATTATCACAAACGATACGCCATTAATATTAACGCTAATCATTATCGTCACATCTCATTGCGCAATGACTGTCGGAGCGACGATTTGCGTGAGAAGCTAAAAGACGCGAAGAACGAAATTGGCGATCATTCTACCCGATGAGCTTCTTTAGATGAATAAAACATTCATGCATGAAGGAAATTTATCCACCGTGCAGCAAAGTCGATGAACGACATAATGCAATAGTATTCTAAAAATAATTTTGTACGATGTAGTCCGACCATATAGAAATAATGTCAAATGACAGGCTGAATGTGGCGTTTATACAGGCATTAAAGTAGAGCGCCGAGAAGTTTCGAGAGAATATTTATAAAGAGTACAACACATGTAGAGACGCCTGCGAAAGACAAAGAACGTACAGCTGGCGACTTTTATCGCGCCACACACATGCCTTTATCATGCACAGAGTCTCCGTTAAGATCACGAATCGTGACCGATTGTCGATAGTGATCACTCGAAAATGAATCGGGTAAACAATGATAAGGGATATTATCTTGCGATGAAAGAAAAAAAATGCTCCCGTGACTAAGCGTGTATATAACATCAAGTAAATGCATCAAGTAAAAGTTAAACGGCAGAGCATTTTCGACACATCGCTCAATTTCCTGATAGAGAAAATATTGCAGCCATAATTACATCGATTACGATGGAAAGAGAATAACTGCACATTAATTCCTTGCGGATTAAATTATTTTTGACAAATGAGCGAAAATAGAGTATTTTATCTTCCAATTAATCTAATCTGGCGGGTCAAATATGAATCACAATTTTGTAATTTCAGGGAATTAATAAAGATCCGAAAAATATAATTGTGTAAGAATATAAACAGGCTACTGACGTGTCCAGTTCGACACGAAATTACAAAAGATTGATAAAACACTTTAGAGACAGTTGCCACTAAATAAATTCCAAAAAACAAACGCTGATAAATTTTATACGTAAAATCGTAATTTGAAAAGTATAACGAATATTTTTTTGAGGCGAATTGTAATAACGCGCGGATATTTTCTGTTCTGTTACACGTAATAATGACGATAATAGAAATGTAAATATGCAGCTCCTTCAGCTGATAATTGTTAGCACAGTTAACTAACGCGTTACTTCGATTGATTCAATATTGTATCTTTAAAAAAAATGTTGGATTCGCTTTAGAAGGCTTTTTTATTCGTTTTTATTAAGCTTACATTTATGAAATAACGCGATCATTTTAATCTTAATCCCATTTTTCAGAATGTACCTTCATTCGCAAATTAACATTTGAAATTAAAGTCTAAAAGTAAATGTGAAAAGAGAGACGAGAGAATGTTTCGGTCAGCGATATCGGTCTTTACACGTATGCGTCAAATAGATTTCTATCTAAATGAATTATAAAGCTGTATTTAATGATATTTGTGCAATTTTTATTCAGATAAATCGAAAGAAATAAAAATTTGTTAAGAATTAAAGAGACTCCCGGAGTTTCGAATGTTATTGACGTTAATTGCGTTATTAATGTACAATGTTAATTACGCATTACGGTCGGCAAGGAGCGAGAAAAAAAAATTTGTTGTGTAACGGTAAGAATGCTTAATTTTTCACTGTGATCGCTGATGCGAGTGGAATACTATCTAACATCTAACGGCTGCTTTGCGCGATCAATCTCGTTCTATTAATAATCGCCGGCGTCCAGAAAGAAGAAAAAAATCGAAAATCGCGTTTCCGAGAACCGACGAGTCACGCATGAATCCAGCGTAAGGGCTGTAATACATGGAAAAGTAGCAGTAAGACTCGGGCACTAAATAAGGTTAGTAATACATAGAAAAATGTAAGTAATAAAACTTAAACAATAAGCAAGTTAATAGCAATCATAGTCAAAAATTTAAAAATGATCATCTTTCGATATTTGACCTGGTTTTCGATAATTTTCAATGATCGTCCAATTTGCTTATTGCTGAAGTCTTAGGGTGCCTTCACATTAGGTAAAAGCAAACAGAATTTGTCGGATCCAAAATTAGCAGAAAAGCAAAGTATTATAGCAAAAAATATAATTTCTGATTAGCTTTAACAAATTCCATTTTTACGCGTTGCGCTTTTCTATTCATAATGTGAATGCACCCTTACATTTTTCTATGTGCCATCAACTTGATCACAGTCGAGATTTTTAAAATGACAGTCACGTCTTTGACTACTTTCGGCTGTGATTGGTTGATTCACTTACTGCTTACGTTGCTCTGTGCGCCATGGTATTAACTCCCTCGGAGAGAACGAGTGATAGAGGGTAAAGTTAGGTCATCCCCTGAGACTTTCAAGGCCGCGCGGAAAAGACAGAACAGAAATAGAGTTTACTTCATGGAGAACTGCATCGCGTCAGAGTGGAAGAACGTTGCCTTTCCCCTTTCGTATTTTCAGAGTCAACTACAAAGGTCATTATCCTGCAATCAGTAACTCGTCCCATGTAGACCTCACATATGCAGAAATAAATACCTTAGATTTTTTTACGAAGAATAATGACCAATCCAATCCTCCATAGAAAAATAAGAAAATCGCTTTTCACGGAATTTAAAACGATCTTTCAATCATTCTTGCAAGATGTCTGCTCAAATTCAAAAAACCCAAAAACCCGAAAAAATTTCCTGAGAATTTTTTAATTTTCAAGACATTTTATTGAAAATTTCGATTAAAATGTAAAAGTATTTTTAAATGTACCTTGCAAATAAATATATATTTATTACGTATATTATGCTATATTTATTATGTAAAGTCCTTAATATTTTCCATTCGTATAAATCATATAAAATAGAATTAAGTATCACGAGTTTCAATAATAAATTTGCAAAATTTTGAAATTATAAAAAACTCTAAATAAATATTATATGTTGCATAAAATTTTCAAATTTTATTTTTAAAAGCAAATTTTTAAAAACAAACAAAAAATTATATAATGCATAAAAATGGTAAAATTATATTATATAAAAAATTTAACATTTACAAAATTATTAAAATACATACCTATCTTCATTAAATAAAATTGCATATAACATGAAATCGTTATTTTTAATACTGGAGTCATAAAATCCTATGCTCCGATGTTTGGAGTGAATGGGCCTACTGTTATCATTTCAACAATTCAGTAAAATTTCGATTAATATAAAGACAAAATATTAGAAAAAGCAACTTCAAAAAATTTCCTAATTTTCCATAAAATCCCCTGATTTTTCAAGGCGCAAACAAAAATTCCCTGAGATTTCAGATTTTTCTAGGTAGTAGACATCCTGTTATTTGCACATATGATTACTAAAAGAAACCAGTTTTGATGCTGTCTATAGGAGAAACATGTAGAAGTAAAAATTTAATGATAGAGAGTCGAAACATCATGACAGTCAATCTTCGGAAAACTTGTTCAATCAAATCATAAACACTGCAAAAAATAGTGAGAGAATGATATACGGAGACAGATTATTAATCATGTTATTCGCACGTGTTATCCGTTCTTTTCCTTTCTCGCGTACGATTACCACAGCGAACGGAGTTCAATACTTCATGACATTTTTTTCTGCAATCGCACAGTCGATTATCGCGAGCCCAGCGAGCGGCTCGACGCGAGAGCGATAATTCGTTTTCAAGACACGTACGTACACATATGTATGTAATATAGAGGCTGCGTGCAACCGCGGGAGAGAAGAGCGGATTCGATCCATTCACGGCCAACTTCCTGCTGCCGCAGCGACCTAACCTAGGCGTGCCGGATGGTGATTGAGAGATTCGTGATCGAGTGGCCGAGTCATCGACCCGGGAGGAAGTCCCGGTTATCGTTCACACCCAAGATTCCCGTCGCGGTAATCCCGACGTGAAGTCGGTGTTCCGAGTGCCAGGCGAGGGTCGCCGGGACGTGACGCATCGCGCTCTGCCGTCGCGGGGAAAAATCTTGCAGAATCCGGATACGGGCGACGACTACCCAACTAGGTTGCGGCGCATGCTCGACGTACGTACGTTACGTATGGACCAAGAGACGCGACACCCTCGTCGCGCCGAAACGCGCGCGTCTTCGCGCGCACTGGAGACGTTTGCGACCGCCGCGCGCTTAACCTCGCCGGAAACAGGCGTGACGCGTGGTGCGAACGGGTGACGAGCGCGCGGCGGGTTAAACGCTGAACAAACAAAACGAAATGATCGTCGCGGCCGCACGAGCGTGACTGAGCGGCGCGCGGACTCCGACCGACCGGCGAGCGCTCGTTTTGAAGTTGGCCGCGCCACGTGATTGGCCGGATTTGCTTCTGCTCGCGCGAGTGCGTTGAACGCGCTCGCGCCGCCGTGCAGGAGGGATTGCGCGAACGAGGAAAACTAAGTTCCTCGATAAGTCGAGGAAGTCGTTCTCTTCATTTGATCACTCGACGTGAACAATCCCGAGAGAGAGAGCTGACGATAAGATTGTGGATGTCGCGTTGCGCTTCGACATCGAGACTGGCAAATATGAAATTAAAAAGTAATACTGAATCTTATAGGATTTCCACGTGATATGTGAGAGCATTAATGTGCCGCACGTATTTATCGAGATATCGCATCTTGATAAATGCGCTTAACTTCATGCATCAAGGCGTCAATGATCCCGCGAATATATTCAATATTTAAAAATTTGAAAGTTTAGAGAGTCTGTAAATCTATAGAGAATTATTAATTATTTGTATCATTAAAATTAAATATAAATCTAGATAAAAAAACTAGTATGATATTACAGTAGATGGAATGAAGATTTATAATATTTATAAAAATATTTTAA